CGTCTTTCACCACTTTCTTTTTGGTGGCCTCGACGTTGTGATAGCCCGGGTAGGCTCGGGCCGGATCTGACTCTTGAATTTTGCCCACAATTTCGCCAATTTCTCCCGCCTTTACGGGAATGCAGAGGCCGTCGGCGTCGCGGATCGGTTCGCCGGTCATTTCGTCCACTTTCATGACGACCACTGGGTATACGAGACGACAAAACCACGGTATACAACACGGCACGAAACCACACGCACCCTCTTTGTTGGATATGTTGGCTGTAATACAAATATATTTTTTAATTAACATTTAGTTAATTTAATTAATTGTTAGCTTATATGCCAATCACTACTGACCGACATTAGCGTTGCCTTCGGTGGAGCCGTAAAACTCGCCGATTTGTGGGATATTGAATCGGGTCTTAAAGTCGGTCCATATCTTCTTGCGGAGTCCGTTGCCGATCATAATCCTCAGGTTGTGCTGTTTGTCGACTGGCTTTTCCGGTTGAGCCAATAGGTATCGACAAATCTCACCAATGTACATCGCAGCCTAGTTTGCAATGATTAAATGGTAATTTATTGGTTAATAAATCATTACAAAAAATGGTTAATTAAAAATTATAAATAAGAAAAGCAAAATTTCATATTCACATGAAATATTAATTTTCACGTATTTTCCATTAATGGTATAAAATAAATAAAATTATAAACAAAATATAAAATTATCGTGAATATTAAAAATTATTTTTTACATAAATACAGATTTATTAATTTATCATACATATTTGCTATAAATTTCTAGCAAGTGTCAAAACAAACAAAACTGCATTAATTGTATAGAATTTATCATATTTATTAATAATAAATTATTATGTACTTAATAAAAAGCATCGAGAATTATATAAAAACAATTACTTCATGGTATATAATGTATTAAAACAAAACCTGATTTAATCAGTTAAACGAGTGTTTGCCGTAAATAATCAAATTTTGTAATTATTATAATCAGATTTCAAATCTTAAAGTAAAGTACCTTTTCTTGAAAACACTTTCATTTCTAATTTTTGGTCATTTTTAAGGTCAACAAAAAATTGTCACTTTGTTTATATACTTTTTTAAAACTCTGAAGGTAAGATTATTAAAGATTTAGATAAAACATTTATGTGTTACTCAATGGAAGTAATGCATCGTAAATATTTTAATAGCATTATTGTTGTTTTGTTTTGTTAACTATAATGAGTTGTTAATTAACATTGAAGGATTCATTTAATTAAGCTAAGAAGGAAAGTATGCGAATATCACCTAGCTGATCCAGTGGTGATTGATATGATCATGTCCAGTATTGTATGGAGATTCATAAACAATCTTCAAAACGGGCGAATGGCAGTAAGCGCCAAAGTTATGGCCATATTTCTAACTATTTGCATAG